GGGGAAGTGAGGCTGGAGGGGCCCTTGGAGGCCACGTGGAGAAGGCCACGTGGAGAAGGCCACACGGAGAAGGCCATGTGGAAAAAGCCATGTGGAGAAGGCCACGTGGAGAAGGCCACATGGAGAAGGCCATGTGGAAGACGCAGGCCTTGGTCCCAGGCATAGTGGAGCTGCTGAAGGCCTTGGCAGGGGTGTCACTGGGGTCTCTCGTGTACTCCCTTCATGTTACCTGGAGCATGCCTCTGAAGCACTGACCTGCACAACACTAAAAATACTTCCTCCACTTAGATTTAAACATTTGCCCCTGTGAAGTTTGCATCGCATACGTGTCAGTGGCAAAGCCAGTTTCACACAAAGCCGTGTTCATTGTACCTATAAGGACTGCGTTCCCAGCCCCATGGGAACCTGTCTGGGGCCTGGGATGCTGGTCTGTGCTGCTTGCAGCCACCTTCACCCGCATGTCCAGCCTGCAGCCCCTATTATGCTCTGGTTCCCTTTCACTGAAGAGGGAGGTTTGGTATGGTAGCTCCCAGGGAGTGGGCGCTTGGCCCTGCCAGTCTCTGTCTCTGCCCAGGTCCCAGAGCTGGACAGCACGGGCAGCCAGGGGCTCCCGCCCTCCTCCCCTGCTTATGGCCAGGGCGCCTTCACGCCTTCTCGCCTCCATGGTTGTTTCCTTCCCCATCGTGTCTGCCTCTCTATAGGGTGCCACCCCTGTGCCTGCTTTGTCCCTGCCTCCGCGGCACTCTCCTCCACGACACGCCCCGCTGGCTCCTGATGTCTATGAGGTCCGGGCCAGATGCGGAGGGAACACAAAGGAATGAACAGAAAGAGAACAGAGGATGAACCCACTTTGTTCTGAAATGTCATCTTTTCTCCTTTTTTTTTGCTATTGCTTTCTAATTTTGTTTTGTACATACTATTTTGCATACTGATTTCTTTCCACTTAATGTAGCAAACATTTTCCATCTGGTTACAACCATCCCAACGCCTCCCATGTATTTATTAATAGTAGCTTCAGGGAACTACCTGGTGCTGAAGCTTTCCCACGTATCATTGAGCCACCTCGTGCATCATTTCTCCCCCAAAATGGGAGCGTTTTGGACTTTCTGCTGGTGGAGTTGGTGAGGGTGAGGCCTGGCGTGATGATGGAGTGTGACTTCATCCCCTTGTGGAAGGACCCCCCTGTCCCCCGCACCCTCCTCTCTCATGAGCACTGACCGTGACTCTCTTTTGTCCCTGGCAGAGGAGAATGAGGAGCGTACTATGATAGACCCCACCTCCAAGGAAGACCCCAAGTTCAAGGAGCTGGTCAAGGTAAGGAGGTTTGTCTTGGCTGGAGTTCCTATTGGGGTGAGGCCTTGGCCTTGGGGTCCAGGGCTCTCCCAGTCTCCTGAAAGGGACATTAATGCTGTGTTAGGAGTGGATGGGTGTGTTGGGTGAGGAGGTTGAACTGGACCTGGGCAGGAGGAGCTCAGAGCGCTGAGTGCCTCCCACGTGCCTGGCTCGGCCCGGTGTCTTAAAACCACTCTCCTAAACTCTGCGCTGGACAGAGCCGTGCAGGAGGGATTTTAGGATTTGCAGTGAGAAGCTGGAATAAACCATCGCAGAACCTTACAGATGCGGTTGGAACTCCTCCTGGAGACTGATGGAGGTTTGGATTCAGAGGTAGCTCTGAAAAGCTGGTATGTGCGGCCACTCTGGCCTCTCCTGCTGAGGAAGCGCCTGATGTCAGGCACACCTGAGCTGCCACGGCACTTCTGGAAGTGGCTGCATCGTTCCCCAAGTCACAGACCCAGCAAGGGGAAGGCTGGCAGCTCTGTGCTTTCTTGGAGATGCAGTGGTGGCTCTTCTGCAGCCTGGCTCCTGCCTGGCGGTGAGGCTTTATTTATAGTGTTTGTCCGTGTCTGAGCGCGGATTGCAGTTTTGATTGCTTGGATCTAAACCACAACAGGCTTCAAAAAGTAATCCCCAGAGGAGCAGTGGCTGTGAGCTCTGTCAGCGTCCTGACCCTGCGAGACCCAGCACCACTCCGGAGCAGGCAGCCGTGGCAAATACTTCACCTCTGCACTCCATAGCCAGCTTGGGTGACCTGGGGGCTTTGAAAATGCTGCGTGTGACATTGTGTGCCAGAGACAGACATTTTCTACTAAAAGTGCTTTTAAAAAACTTTCTCCACCTTCACCACCACCGTTGGACCTGACGCCGTGCTGCGAAACTGCGTTTTCACAAGGGCTGATTTAGGATAAATAAAACCGTTTCCAAGTTAACACATAGATTGAAAATGTCAGTTTTAGGGCCCACCCAAAGTTGTTGATTCTTAACAATTTAAATTACCTAGTTTATTTTATTAAAAAAAACTTTCCCCCTGAATATCCACTTTGTTATTCTGAAGAGGAGAACGTTGGTGAGGAATGTGACTTTGTCTTTTAGCCACCAAAATGTTATCCACAGGGGATATTTAAGCAAAAGATGTATGAGAATTGTCAGGGTTCCCCAGAGAAACAGAACCAATAGTGTGTGTATGTATATATATACACACATATATGCCTAGAAAGAAATTTATTATAAGATATGGGATCACACGATTACGGAGGCTGAGAGGTCCCATGATCTGCCGTCTGCAGCTGGAGACCCGGGAGAGCTGCTGCTGTAGTTGGGTGGCCTAAGAGCTGGAGAGCCAGTGGGATCGAGTCTATTCTGAGTCTGAAGCCCTGAGAACCGGGAGCACTGAGGGCAGGAGAAAACCCATGTGCCGCTCAAGCAGTCCCGGGCAGAGAGAGGAATCCACCCTTTCTCCACTTTTTCTTCTGTTCAGGCCCTCAAGGGACGGGATGATGCCCACCCACCTTGGAGAGGGCCCTCTGCTTTACCCAGTACACCAGTTCAAATGGTAATTTCTTCTGGGATATTATCACAGACAGATCTAGAAATAATGTTTAACCAGCTATCTGGGCACCCCATGGCCCAGTCAATTTGGCACATAAAGTTAACTATTGTACACACCTTTCTGAATTTTTCCCCTTCAACATTGGAGCAGTGTTCGAGTCTGCAAGCTCTGTTCACAAGCGTTTTCTCCTTGAAGAACTCTGAGTGGAGCTGGTGTCACCTTGCTTTCATGGGGGACTCAGAGAGGTGAAGCACTCTTCAACACTGGAGCAGTGTTCGAGTCTGCAAGCTCTGTTCACAAGCGTTTTCTCCTTGAAAGAACTCTGAGTGGAGCTGGTGTCACCTTGCTTTCATGGGGGACTCAGAGAGGTGAAGCACCTCCCCACCCCCAGGTTTCACTGGGGATTAGTGATGTGTCTGGGCTTAAGGGGTCTGTCATGGGATGCCACATTCACTGAGCCCCAGATGAGCTTTGTGTTGGGCCCTGGGGCTGGAGGGATGAATAAGTCACTTCCCTCCTGTTTAGGATCCAGTCTATGTTCCTCCCGATTCACTCAGCCCCACCTTTGTCACTTTGCCTCCTGAGACCACAGGCAGATTTGGCCTCGGTGGGGCAAGGGCTGGTCAGCAGCTTGTCCACCACAGAGGGAGCGTGGCACCTCTGGTCTCCAGGACTAACTTGCAGGGTCTGTGGAGGCCCCACTGCTCCACCTCTTCTGGATTCCTGATTCAGATGAGGGCCACATTGGGGGCTCAGGGTGGGCTGACTGGAGGGGCCAGAAGTGGGAGGAGGTTAATGGTCTGTCGAGCAAAGTAGGACTAAGGACAGGAAGGAGTGGATGGATGAATGTCCCTCTCTGATGTCCCTACTGTGTGGTTCTGAGACCTTTGGCTCCACAGGAGATGGACCACGGGGCTGAGCATTGAGTGGGTTTCCGTCCAGAGCTGTGGAAGCTCAGTCATGCCCCTGCCTGCCTTCCCTCTCCCTCACTGCTGCTAGTCTGGGTTGGTAGACTCCTCAAAAGCATCAGCAGTGAGCTTTGCTGTTCTCTCTTTCCTGGGGAACATGGGTGTGGTGGGTGGAATTGTGGCCCCCAAAGATGACTGTGTTATGATCCCTGAACCTATGACTATCACCTCGCGTGGCAACAGGAACTTTGCAGATGTAATTAAGTTGAGGCTTTGGTGATATGGAGACTATCCTGGACTATCCAGGTGGCCTAATGTGATCACAAGTGCCCTGATCGGAGGGGAGCAGAGGAAGATATGACTGTGGATGAAGACGGAGACGTGATGGAGCTTTGAAGACAGAGGAATAGGCCACACACCAAGGAATGCAGGCGGCCTCTGGAAGCTGGAAAAGACAAACGGATTCTCCCCTAAAGCCCCCAGAAGGAACCAGCCGCCCAATGCCACCCCAAAACTTTGATAATAGCCCAGTGAGACTAATTTTGGACTTTGGCCTCCTGGACCACAAGAGTATCCACTGCTGCTGTTGGAAGCCACCAGGTTTGTGGTACCTTGTTACAGCAGCTGTAGGGAAAGAATGCACCAGGCTAAGCGATCCCCCTTCCCACACTGCTGCCTGCCTCTGCCACAGCTGATGGGCCTGTCCACGTGGGCCAGGCAGGGTGAGCCTCACTACCTGCGGTGGCAGC